CACTGTATACACATATGGATACACTGTACACACATATGGATACACTGTATACACATATGGATACACTGTACACACATATGGACACACTGCATACACATATGGACACACTGTATACACATATGGATACACTGTATACACATATGGATACACTGTACACACATATGGTTACACTGTATACACATATGGATACACTGTACACACATATGGACACACTGTATACACATATGGATACACTGTATACACATATGGATACACAGTACACACATATGGATACACTGTATACACATATGGATACACTGTATACAAACATGGATACACTGTACACACACATGGATACACGGTACACACATATGGATATACGGTATATACATATGGATACACTGTATACGCATATAGATACACTGTATACACATATGGATACACTGTACACACATATGGATACACTGTATACACATATGGAACTGCTAAAGAACAAATAAAAGATAAAATAGTAACAATTCACCTATTTAAGGCCTGCTTAAATTCTTTACAACCACTTCTTTTATATATATATATATATATTTCATAATATTTAGGTATGTGCCATGAATTCCTGATCTCTCCAAGACTTAAGGCTTTTTCAGCATCTAATGAGATGATCATGTGACCTTTTTCCCTTGAGTTTGTTTATATAGTATATTACATCGAAGGATTTTCATATATTGAACTATTCCTGAATCCCTGGGATAAAGCCTACTTGATGATGATGAATGATTGTTTTGATGTGTTCTTGGATTCAGTTTGTGAGAGTTTTATTGAGTATCATTTCATTGATATTCATAAGTGAAGTCGGCCTTATTTCTTTGTTGGGTCTTTGGGTAATTTAGGTATTAGAATAACTGTGGCTTCATAGAATGAATTAAACGGTATTCCTTCTTTTTCTATTTTGTGGAGTAGTGTGAGGAGTATTGATATTAGCTCTTGTTTGAAGGACTGGTAGAATTCTGCTCTAAAACCATATGGCCCTGAGCTTTGTTTGGTTGGGGGTTTTTAATGACTACTTCTGTTTTTCCTTATGGGCTATGGGACTGTTTAGATAGTTTACTTGATCCTGATTTAACTTTAGTATGTGGTATCTGTTTAGAAAACCATCCACTTCATCTAGACTTTCCAGTGTTGTTGAGTATAGGCTTTTGTAGTAAGATCTGATGTTTTTTTTTAAATTTCCTAAGTTTCTGTTGTTATCTTTCCCTTTTCATTTCTGATTTTGTTAATTTGGATACTGTCTCTATGCCCTTTAGTTAGTTTGGCTAAGGGTTTATCTATCTTGTTGATTTTTCCCAAAGAACTAGCTCCTGGTTTGGTGGATTCTTTGTATCATTCTCTTTGTTTCTACCTGATCGATTTCAGCCCTGAGTTTGATTATTTCCTGCCATCTCCCACTCTTGGGTGAGTTTGCTTCTTTCTGTTCTAGAGCTTTCAGGTGTGCTGTCAAGAGGCTAGTATGGGATCTCTCCAGTTTCTTTAGGAAGGCACTCCAGTCTATGAATTTCCTCTTAATACTGCTTTCATCGTGTCCCATAAATTTAGGTATGCTGTGTCTTCATTTTCATTGAATTCTAGAAAGTCTTTAATTTCTTTCTTTCTTTCTTCCCTGACCAAGTTATTATTGAGCAGAGAGTTGTTCAGTTTCCATGAGTATGTGGACTTTCTGTTGTTTTTGTTGTTATTGAAGTCCAGCCTTAATCCTTGGTGATCTGCTAGGATGAATGGGATTATTTCAGCCTTCTTGTATCTGTTGAGGCCTGTTTTGTGTCTGATTATATGGTCAGTTTTGGAGAAGGTTCCATGGGGTGCTGAGACGGTCTCTTGTTTTGGGTTAAAATGCCTGTAGATATATGTTAAATCCATTTGGTTCATAGCTTCTGTTACTTTCACTGTGTCTGTGTTTAGTTTCTGTTTCAATGACCTGTCTATTGGTGAGAGTGGGGTGTTGAAGTTTCTCACTATTATTGTGTGGGGTTCAATGTATGTTTTGAGTTTTAGCAAAGTTTCTTTTACGAATGTGGGTGCCCTTGCATAAATGTTCAGAATTGAGAGTTCTTCTTGGTGGATTTTTCCTTTGAGTATGAAGTGTTCTTCCCCACTTCTTTTGATAACTTTTGGTTGACAGTCTAACAGTGGCTCTCGGGAATGGTGAAGGAAATTCAGCAGTGCCTGTTTTAAGGGCCATTGTAAAGCTGCCTGTGTTTCACTTCCTGTCAGTGTGCTTGTACTGAGCCAACAGTAGAGGGTGACATGGAGGGTGGGGGATTAGAAAAGATGCTGATTGGTCTCATGCAGATTCAGTTCTTCAGCTAAAGAACAAGCAATCCTGTATTCTTTCTAACTACAAAACCTAGTTCTTCAGAAAGAATAAATGGTCATACATTCAGTGACCATTTTATATTAATCTACTTAGCAACTTGAGGGCTTCGGTAAACTCCACATGAGAGAGAAAGCGACCTCTGTAGAGCTGCCTTTGTAATTTCACTTTCCCCCCCTCAAAAGCTGTTTTTCTAGCAGTCTTGATTGATGCATATTGGATGTTCTTTTGTTATCTTAAACATCTACTCTAAGCCCAGGACTTTCCTTATATAGCTCTCATCTCCCCAGAATTTGGCACGAAAATGGTTTTTAGTGCTGAGTGTTTTCTGCTGGTCTCCACTCACAGCAGTGCCGGCCTTTCACCTGGTTTTGTGTCTTATTTTAGAAATTGTCCTTATTCTTTGGTTTTATTTGAAATGTTGGTTGGTTTAAGCTTTGCTACACTTGATATAACCAGAAGGCTAAGAAGCAAGCCTTGCTGCAAAAGGCTTCATGTCTGGGAAGGCAGAAAAAAAGGAGGAAAAAATGGATTGTATTAAAATGAAGTCTTTAGATCCAGAAACAAAATTATTGCAAATTACCTTATCCACAACTAGCCTCAACTAAATAAGAAATTTGAGGCCAGCCTAGGATATATAAGTCTTTGCCTCAAATGAATAAATAAACAACAATTGCTACCCGTTCCATAGCATTCTACATAGAATTGCCAGTGAGAGGAAGGTACCCTTGTGATTTGATCTGTTTTTTTTTTTTTTAATCAGAATTCTTTAACACCAATTCTTTAACATCAATAGCAAGTATCTTTTGAGTAGCAAACCTTTCCTTATATTTCAGAGCTTCTAAAGTAAATTTCAGCGTCACTGCCTGTGTATTTATGGAAATTTTCAATAAGATACACTTGAATGTTAACATTTTTGTTTATACAATGTATCCTTGTGAGCCGATACCAGAATTACCATTTTTAAAAAGTGGATACTATTAGCAGCCAATCTCAGAAAGCATAGCCCTAAACTGGAAACTCACGCTTTTACCATTTGGATTTGTGCTTGGAACAGACCAGAATTAATTGACCCATTTTAGATATCTATTTTAGTATCC